TAAATAAGACAGAATTAAAATTTTATTTTGAAAAAATAATCTATTAATATTTATCTAAGATACAAATCTTTTTATATCAATCTATAATTTTTATATTAATTTTAATCAAATTTTATATAATAAATTTAAGAAATAATAATTCAAAAAAGTTATTATTAGTAAAAATTTTTTATAAAAGATATATAATAAGAATTTTTATATTTAAATAAATTCTAATATTTAATAACTTAATTAATAAGACAGAATTAAAATTTTATTTTGAAAAAATAATCTATTAATATTACAAATCTTTTTGTATCAGATTATATTGACAAAAAATATACTTATTAAATTAGAAATAATATATTATTAAAAATAGTAAAATAATATTGATGAAAGTAATTATATATTATGAAAGATATATTTTAATTAACAGATAAATAATTAGTTTTAAAATAAAACTTTTTTTATATAATATTTTTTCATAAGTTTTGAACATTATGTGATTATATAGATAAGAATAATAATAATTCAATAATTAAATTTGTAATTAAATAAAAATAATTCAGAACAAAAATATAGAAATATTATAAAAAAATTTTGATTAGTATTTCTTGTTTGCTTTATAATTTTATAATTAATGTTAAATATTGGTACATTAATTTAAAAATAAATTTATTCTTTGGAATTATGCGACTCATTATAGTTGTGAACAAAATCGAGAAACCAAAGTCCAAACTACTAAAGTTGTACAGCATGAGGTAATGGTTTTCCCCAAACACCAGCCAACAAATTTTCAATCGCCATGCTATGTATTAACATACGTGTTTCGAACGTTGCGGTTCCAATATGCGGTAAAGCAAACACATTATCGTATTTTAGAAGGGGATCTTGAGGATCCAATGGCTCAGGAGTCGTCACATCTAATCCAACTGAGCCCAATAGGTTTTCAGATAATGCACGTACGAGATCATCTTGTTTGACGAGACCTCCACGTGCTGAATTAACAAAAACCTATCAAGTTCAAACAATTAGCGATCAGAGAGGTTAGTGAGCAAGCCTTGAATAAAAAAAAATACATACAACACTGTTCTTCATTTTCTTAAACGTGTCGTAATCGAACATTTCTTTAGTTTGTGAGGTAAGTGCACAAGTAACACAAATTATATCTGATTCGCGTAGTAGCGTATCAAATTCAACTCTAGTTGCTCTAATTTCATCAGCATATGGCTTATCAGTGTTTCCGCTGTAAATTATTGTTCCATTAACCCCAATGAATGGTCTTAAACGAATAGCAGTTGCTTTGCTTTGCCTATTCTACCTAAATCAACAATTCCAACTGTTTTATTAGTTAATTGAGTTCCTGTTAAATAAATAAAATAAATATTTAATCAATTAATCCATATTTAAAAAACATTGAATAATTCTTAAAATGTATACCCAACAAAAACGTTGGTGCCCACAAGCCCCATTTTCCATTTAGCACAGAAAAAATTCCCTTAATTATTAAATAAACAAATTAGGTTGAGAAAATATAAGTAAATGTTAAATATTAAAACAAACCTCAACGTGCCGCACCCAACACCAATAGAACTGTAAGCTCTTGTTATATCAAGAAAATATTAATAATATGATCATCACTTTATAATATTAATGTACGTTTATTAATTGATTACCTGCCGTTGCGTCAGTTAATACGCCTGGAGTATATCCAAGTAATATATTACGCTTGCGAAGTTCTTTCACATCAACGTGGTCATAACCAACTAAAAAAATTTAATTATTATTTTTAGATTGTGAAATATAAGTTTATTATTGAATATATCTCATACCAGATACTGTCGAAACAACTTTAACTTGTGGACCAGCAGCATCCAATACTTCTTTGTCAATTTTATGAAATACCGTGCAACCTTTTTTATTTAAGTCCAATTATTTAGAATTAAAATCTTGAAAAGATAACGTTTAATATCATTTGAAAAGCTTATTAAATGCAAAAATAGATTAATCAAATTATTAACTTTTTTTATTTTATTCCTAATACCTTACAAACCTTTCACCTTTTTCAATAATTCTTCCCGGGGAATAACTCCTTCTTCTTTCCATAATTCAACTTCAACTCTCTCAGCATTCTCTAATATTTGTTCTGCCTCTGGAAGTAAAGCCCGCGCCACGAAAACTTTTGGACGACGGCTAGTATTTGATGTGCTTGTAGCCATATAATATCTGAGATCTATTTGACGTCGACCAGTCTGCAAAAGAATTTTTTTGTAACGAAATTTTGACATGCATCCGGTTTGATTTAAGTCACGAAATCATAGTTGGTTAGATTAAGACACGTACGTATGAAAAAAAATACGAATTATATATACCAGGGTCAGGCTTTATTTATACAGCATAAAAATTACAGGATACATATATGTATATACAGTGTGGTCCATAAGTATTCGGAATTAAAAAATTACTCGTCACACCACAACCAATGACTTAAATCACATGAAATTTATGCATTTTGAAGATTAAGACCAGCTAATTTATTATATTATTTTTAATATGATATACGCTCGCCATTGCTTTCTATAACAAGCTCACAACGACATCTCATAGACCTAATTAAATTAATTAGAGTAGACTCAGGAATATCCACCCATTCATTTATCATATAACGACGCAGTTCGTCTAAATTTTTTGGCATATGCTTTTCCACATTGTTCTTAATAATACACCAGAGATTTTCGATGTGATTCAAATTGGGACTGTTAGATGGCCAGTCCAAAACTTCGGGCATGGTTTCTTCAAGAAACGCTTTGGCAAGATGGCTTGTGTGTTTTGGATCGTTATCCTGCTGGAACCGCCATTCATCTTCCATCAATTGCTCAATTTCTGAAGTATGCTCACGAAGGATATTGACGTAGAATTTGGCATCTATAATTTCAGAAAAACAAAATAAACTACTTTTACTATTTATACAAAATCCTCCCCACGTGAAAATCTTTCTTTGATTCTTGAGTATACATCGTATCAGCTGTGCTCCCTTGTACCAGTGCTCTATCATATTTCAAAAGAGTTTAAAAGTTGTTTCATCCAAAAAGAAAGTATTATCCCAATTATCATTAAGATATTTGCGAGCCCATGCCACACGTTTACATTTATAAGCATCAGTAAGTATCAGTATTCCTAGTGGAAGTGCTTTTTTGTATTTGAGAGTAGCCAAATGTTTTCCAACCATTTGATGAGACACGTTTATATCAATTTTTGATAATTTCATCACCAGAATTCTCATTGAAATAGATGAATCCCTTTGTATATATTGATCCAATACCTTTGATGCTCGTGCAGTTATCTTCTTGGATCTATCTTTACTTCTAGCATGTTTATTTGTATTATATTTTTTGAATTTATTAATATTGTTGTATATTGTTGAAAGGGATATGTTGGTTATGATATGGATTTCTTTGACATCTTGAATATCCTGATTCCACAATTATAAAATGAATTGATGGTTGGTTTCTTGCTTGAAAGTCATAATTATATCAAAGTAAAAAAGAAAAAAAAATAAAAGAAATAGTATCACAAAGAAGTTCCGCAAATAACCTACTTATGATGATTCTTTTCCATTTTAAATTGTAAAAATCGGTCTTAATTTGGTAAAGATATACATATTTTTTTTCCACAAAAAATTTTCTGGATACTTATAGACCACACTATATATGAATGTAAAAGAAATTTTAATCATCTTATGGAGTAGAAATTGTAGTACTTTCTTCTTATGATGTGGGAATGGATACATGATATAGTAGAGATAAATTTGTAATTAATATGTTACGTAAAAGCAAAAGAGTTCTATAAATCTAGTTACAATATTTATAGCTGATATTTTGTACTGGAATTTCAGCTGATTCTATATGAAAATACCTATGGACATTAACCTAAGAACATTCAGATGTAACATATTTCCCACTATTTGTGCCCTGAGTATTTCAAATTGAATCTTCTCTGGTTTAAGAGTTTTTGAGTAGAATACATATCATTATACTCACACCATAACTTAAAATCATCATCTGTCTTTTTCTGTTCAGTACAAAATAATTGTGAACATTCAATATACATAAGTTTAAAGAATTCATCCAAATATTTCATCACAAACATAATATCTGGATGTTTTTCTCCCCTTTTCTATCAGCGCTTGCCATACTCTGTTTTTCTAAAGTACTAATAAATGAAGATATTCTAAAAGGAAGTTTTTAAGATAGATTTAAAATTATAGAATCGTGCAATTCTATAAGGTTACTTAGAACTCTCTCATTTTCAAATATTTTTATTCAAATACTCCTCTATCATCCTATCTGCTGACCCCTCACTAAAGTTGGCCAGAAAAGTTATTCGCATGAAAGAATTATAAGTTAGATATTTATAAAACTGTATTTAAGTTCAGCTTGCATTAAAACTTACAGATTTTTATATAGTTCTCATATACTATCATTTATAGAATATTCTTCCCATTCTATCAAAATCATAACGTAAACTATACAGAGAGACTCTCCTAAATGCATCCCTCCTGGGACCAGTCATAAGTATGCATTTAGAGAGGGTGTGCACTTAGAGATTTAAAGTTAGAATCTTATGTAATTAAATATTATATAATATAATTACACATTATATTAAGAAATATCTTATATTTATTAAATATTTATTATAAAAATGCCCTATATTTATTGAATATTTATTATAGAAATGCCTCACATTTATTAAATATTTATTATACATTACATTAATTTTTACTTCCACATTTATTAATTTTTTATTAAGAAAATGTCTTATATTATATTAATTTAAATTAATAGTGAAGTATTAATCTGTTACAATTGATCAACTTTTTTTTTCTCAATAAACTTTTCTAATATATCCATCAATTTTATTTACTTACTTATATCTGCTTGCTAAAATAAAAATATTTTAATATTTTTTAAACTTCTCAATATTGTACTGACTGTGATTATTAAAATCTTAATATTATTATTTTCATTTAAGTTTTCAGTTCTGAATATATCTTTTCTAGTTAAATTATCAATTGCAAATAAGTTTGCAAGCTCTTGATTATTTATTAAAGATTTTGTAAATAATATTTTTGATAAGTTTATTAATTATTATTCTTTTCTAAATATTATTTAAAGAATTGGAATTTGCTGAAGATCTTAATATATTATTAATAATTATTAATAGTCTTGATAGATATTTTTTTTCAAATCTTAATTATATATTGAATTACTTGAAGAATAATCATTTTTAAGTCTTATATCAAATAGCTCACTTTAATTTATTATAATAATTATCTAAACTTATAAATAATTAATAAATTTAGTTGAATAATAATAAAAAATAGTAATAACTTATCAAAGATAAAAATAATAATACTGACTTTTAAATGTTATAATTATTTTAGTATTTATCAATTAAATTTTTAAAGTATTATTAGAAAAGAAAAAGTAAATATTGATATAATAAATATTTAAATTCTTTATCTTATAACTTGAATAATTATTAAAAAATAAAAGAATTTACTAATCTTTATATTTTTATATAACTTAATAATCAAATATCTAAAGTTATTGAAAAAAAACTATAAGTATTCAAGTCTTGAAGTTATTTCAATATATTATAATCAAGTTTTTGAATTTTACATTCTTTAAAATATTATAATTTTATCAACTTGCTAATTATAAGAGAATTTAACTTGTATAATCTATTAGTATTATAATATAATCAAAAATTACTCTTTATTTTTTTTATAATCAGAAAGATATCTTATTATTAATATTTAATCAGGTTCTAATTAATAAAAAAGTTTTATTTTATCTATAATAACAGTCATAAATATCCTACTGATTATATCACTTAAATATATATAATAATAATTTCTTAAATTTTTCAGATAAAAGATATATAATATTGTTTGATTATATATAAAATTTTAGCTCAAGTAAATATTACCAGCAAATTTTTCAAATATTAGATATTTTATATTAAACTATATTATATTTTCTATATAATACTAATTATAAAACTTTCAAAAATTTATATCTTGATACTTTTCTAATAAAATTTTATATTTTTTTTTCTTTTATTCTTTAAACTAGTTATAATTATACTTTGAATCTATAAGTAAATTATAACATGATTATTATTATAAAATATAAATAAGTATATAATATAATAATTCTAAAAGTTATAATAAGCAATTATTTTCTTTTATAATAATAGTAATTTTATAATTTAATTAGATATTTTAAAAATTATATAAAGATAACTTTAATAAGTAAAAGAAAAAAAGAATTATAAAAATTGATTAGAAATATGTGAAGATATAAATTTTTAAAGTTTTAAGTTTGAAATAAATAAATGTAATTTTGATATATTTTTATATATTTTCAAAATAAAATATCTAATATTTAGAAAATTTGCTGATAATATTTGCTTGAGCTAAAATTTTATATGTAATTAGATATTATTATATACTTTTTGTCTAGAAATTTTAAGAAGTTATTATTATATATATTTAAGTAATACAATTAGTAAAATACTTATAACTGCTATTATATATTATAAATTTATTTAGAAAAATAACTAGAATATTTATCTTATAATGATAATAATAATTTAATAATAATATTTTAATCTGCTAATACTTTTTTTTATAAAGCTTTTTTTGATAAATTTTATTATAATTCTTGAATTTTCAGAATTATTTAGAAGAAAATTATAATATACTCTTAGGAATATTTAAATCTTTTTCTAATAGCTTGGCTTTTTTAATTAATAATATATTATTCAAAATTATTTATTTTTGATAAACTAATATAAGTTCTTTAAGAGCTAACTCAAGCTTTAGAATATTAATAAATTTGTAATATTTTACTTCATAATTTATGACTTTTATTATTAGTTATCTTTTTTTAAATATGAGAATTATTAACTTATTAATAGTAATCTTCCATTTTTGTTTAATTTATTCTATATATTCTTTATAAATTTTTTATTATCATAATAAAGATAGAATTTATATTTCTGGCTATCTGTTAGAGTAACTTTGATAATATTAATAAATAATAGAAGCTAATTTATGAGTATTATGATAAAAAAGTATTGGATTATATAATTTTTTAAGAGATAATTAATCAAATCGCAAAATAATAAATATAATAATAGTTGTTAATTATAATTAAGATTAGGATTAGGATTAGAATTATAGTTAGAATTATATTTTACATGATATTATAATCGTATAATATTATAAAGTATCATTATAAATATTATAAAGCAAAATTTTATAAGAAATATTTTTTGTTAAAATAAAAATTACATGATTCAACATTTTTTTTATCATGATTAGGATATTAAATAAATAAGTTATTAAGCA